TTATAGGGACAAATGACTTTGCACTGTTGATGTCTCTCTTCCTTTCAACATCAGAATATTTTCCTTTCTGTTGAGTTCAGTCATGTTCTAACTTTTAAATACTTTATCCAGATTAAGAAAAAAATACTTAACTAACTCTTTTATAATCTTGGCGAAGGGCAATTTTTTGTTGTTGTTGTTTTAAACAGAACTTAGGAGCCAAATAAGAAAAGACTGATAATATTTTTAGAAGGCCAAATCAACATAAGCAAAGTAGAAATACAAATGAAAAGTCTGATTAAAAAGTACTTTGATCTCTCTTCTCCCTACCTTACACTTCATCTGGCTGACTCCACCTCATCGTTAATAATCAGCTTAAGGGTCATTTCCTCCAGAAACCTTTCCTGATGCCTATAAGGGCAACCCTCTTTGATGTTCCTTATGTTCCTATTCTTTTCTGAGCATGCCTGTGATGCAGGAAAAATGGATGCGGGGCATGAGAAGGGCTATGTCCCAGGCTTCAGTTGAGTCCCTGGGACGTGCCCCGCCAAGTGTGGGTACACAGGAAAGAATTCAAGAGCGAGTCACAGTTGAGTAAAGGTAGATTTATCCAGAGATACCTTGAAAGGCAAGAGAAAGGCCACGAGGTGTTGGGGTTGGGTGCTCAGATTAAAAGTAGGTACACACTCCATAGACAGAGCGTGGGCCCATCAGAGAGAGAGGGAGAGAGGCAGTGGCTGCGAGGCACCATGTTGCCAGTTTTTATGGGCTCAGTGGCTTCACAGGCTAAAAAGTCGAAGGACCCGTCTAACTAGTCTGGGGAAGGGGCTGGAATTCCCAGGAAGTTGACCATTTCCCACTCTCTGACCTTTTGTGGCTAGCCTTGGGACTGCCATGGCGCCTGTGGGCATGTTATTCACCATGTTAATGTATTACAATGAGCTTGTAATGAAAGCTGAAGGTCTACTAGAAGTTAAATCTCCCACTATCTTGAGCCTCAAGGCCTACTGGGGGTTGAATCTTGCGCCATTGTGGTGTTAATTGCTGTAGCATTCCTTGAATGGCTATGCCCTGCGGTCTTCCTGTCTCACCTGGATCACTGCTCTTACCATATTGTTTGGAAATTAATTGTAAACTGGATTTGTACATGTTACTTTTTTTCCCAATTAGTTTGTAAACATCAAAAGCATGGAATTTTGATGTGAAATTACTGGAGATAAGTGAATTTCTTAGCACCATTCTAGTCTTCTTTGGGTCTGCTACTTTCTGACTGCGTGTCTTTGTATAAGTCAGTGTCTTCGAATCCCAATTTCATCTTCTGTGTGGGATGATGACATTAATACCAATTTAACAATGAGAATTAAATGAGTTCATGCATGTGAGAAACGTGATTATAACTTGAATATTTCTCTTATTCTGTACCACATCTAACTCAGTGCCAGGCACATGGAAAGTGCCAATTTTAATAAATGTTTACAGAGGGAGTGGGTGAAGTCTAAATGGAATATTTTGTCAGAAGTGAGGCACCCTGGTTTGTGGTATATGGGTGGCTGTCTGTGGCTGTTCTCCAGAATCTACAGGAGATCTCTGGGGAAGGCAGACCACCCAAGGACACTGAATGGCAGATGGGAAAACTAACTCCCAGGGCCTATGTGGGGGGCATTTCTATCCCATGCCCCATGCTGTGCCATTTCACACAACAAAAAGGACGTTTCAGAAGACTCCAGAGGATGTACACTACTTCCCGAAGAGGAGCTGACACCCTCGAGAACTAAACCTGGTCCTGTCAGTGCTGATTTTCCCAGGCATTCCATCTCCTCTGCCCAGCTGGCATTTATCTATCAATGCTATGCAACAGAACTTTCTGCAGTGATGGAAATGTTCTATATATATGCTGTCCAATATAGTAGCCACTAGCCATACATGGCTATTGTGCACTGGACAGTAAATAACAATAAATAGCAATAAATAACAGTCTGACTAAATAACTAATTTTAAAATTTCACTTAAAATTTAAATTAAACAGTACCGTTCCATGCAAACATGTTTGCTGATTTTTCAAATTACCGTTAGATGAGAATTTTCCACGTGCTTCATACATTTTTGTAGATTATTTACTACACAGTCTCTTGGTTTTCCTGGCTCTAAGTTACTCTCTACACAGCAACCAGAGCAGCTGACCAAGTCCCTGACCTGCTCAAAAACTGTTAATGGGTTTCTGTTTGTTTCAGGATCCCCCATATATGAGTTCTCCAAGTCTGCCCTTACCTATTGATGCAGCCACTCCTGCCACAACCTTCACTTCAGATACATTTTTTCTTTGCCCAGCCTGTTCCTACTGCCTCAACCATCCTTTCTCCCTTTTTGCCTAGCTTACTCCTACTTGCCTTCAAAGAGTCAGATTAGATACTCTCTCCTCCAGGAAGCTTTCCCTGAATATTCCTTTACCCATCCCCTCTATCACAGGCTGGGTTGTATATTCTTCCTCTGGGTTTGCACAGCCTCCTATACTTTCCTCCATCAGAACACTGATCATGCTGGGTTGTAATTACTGATTAAATCTCTTTCCCCTTCTGGACTGTGAGCTCCCAGAAAGCACAGACAGTGTTATACTCACATTTTTATCTCAGTGTTTGCACAGGGTCTGCCTTAGCAGAGAAATCAAGGGATGTTTAACTGAATTATTCCAAAACGTTTTAGGTTCTTCATTTACTGGATTTAAACTTGTCAAATGCATTTTAATCTATCACCCCATTTGTGACTTACAGAATTCTTTGTGGCAGGTAGGGCCTTAGTTTCAGTTTGCTGGAAAAGGAAACTGAGGCTCAATGAGTACAAGAGATTTGCCTAAGATTATAAAGCTATCAGGGCAGAGTTTGATTAGAACCTGGATCTTCAAACTCCTTTTCCCCCACCTTCTTATATTTAATGAAGCTCCTTTGTCCTTCAGTCCTCAGTGACCCCTCTCACATTGAAATTCCTACAGCCCTCATAGACTTTACCAGTCATTAGGATTGATTTGCGAAAGCTTAAGTGTTTTCATCTTCATGGCTTGTGAATTTTAAACCGCTCAAATGTGAGGGATATTTCTGACGGGTATTTTTCTCTAACTTTCTATGGAATATTCTTGTGGTGCCCACACCTTATCCCTGATTTTAGTGCAGGTGAACGGACAGTTCCAGGCATGTAGCTAGCAACCCAATCCCAAGCTTTCTGGTCCCACTGCTTTTCTGCCTCAAGGCTTTCTTTCAAGCCCTAGAAGGCTGCTTAGCTCTGGGGAAGCATAACCAGGAAATGTGAAAGAGTTTTTAAGGTGATAATCCTCAACCAATGGGGATGGAAACTGAAGTAAAAGACCCTGTTCTTGTGGGACAATGCTGAGGCACATTCTACATGATTCTTCAGAAGGTCTCCAGTGGGATTAAGTTCAGCTTCCATTAAAGCTCAATAACCCACATTTTTCTTGGCTTTTTTCCTCTCCCTCTTTCACTCTCCACACCTCACTTCTGTTTCATAGACTTACCTCCCAAACATGTTACTAGCACTCAGGTCCTTGCCTCAGGCTGTGCTTTTGGGGAACCCAAATGAAGAAACTACCTAACTATACAGAACTTCTTTAGAGACAACACTTGACCCTATGCGGTTTGTGTTCGAGTGGTACTGGACTCTCAGTTTCATCACTGATCCCCACACTCCATGCCTTGACTCATGCTGTTCCCTCTGCCTGGCACACTCTTCTTCTCCTCCCCCTTGCTGGCAGCTATGCATTCTTCAGGACTCAGCTAGGTTATCCACTCCTCTCTGAAGTCTTCACTGATTAGCAACCGCCTCCACCCCACCCCACCCCCACCCCCACCCTGGCTTCCATCTCTCTGATCCTGTAACGCTTCCAAAACTAGTTAACTTCTATCAAAGTCATTCTCTCTTTTCATTTCTCTGAGAGCCCCTCGAGGGGTACGGGCCTGGCTAGCAAGGTATTTGGTAAAAAAAAAAAGTGCTCAGTAAACCTGGTAGAAATGTGCAAGCGTGAACTTAGGAATCATTTTTCATTCCATAAACATTTACTTAGCACTTCCTTTGTGTCAAACACAATGCTGTGTTATGGGTTTTACAAAGAAGACACTGACCCTAGGTATAAGAAAGCTTACTGTCAAGTGAGGAAAAGAGAAATACGTAATGTATAAAGCATTGTTAAGTGGTAGGACAAGGATGCACGGGGGACTGTGAAAGGACAGAGCAGTTCAGTAAACACGAATGTTATACTTTGGTCTTAGGAGGTAGTGGTGATTCACCAGAGATGGGAAAGAGCATCCTAGGTACACTGAGAAATACACCAGCGAAAGAGAAGCCTTTTCTTGAGCTGGGTAATGGTGCAGTTGTAGAGGGGCGAGGAGCCTGAATCTGTTGGCCCTCCATGTGTTTGGAGTGAGGGCGGGGCACATAATTATTGATTCTCAGGGCATTTCAGATGAAGATAAAAGTTACTCAGTACTTCGACCAGGGCCAGGTGCACCGTGGAGAGAAGCGCCGGGAAATCAGAGTCCTGTCCCAGGCTCCCAAAGTTGAGTACCAAGGACGGAAAAGCCGACCCATCTAGCTGTGCGGTCGGCACGGGAACCTGCGTTCGCAGCAGGTGAGCGGGATCCCCCAACCGACCTGGTCCCGCGCCCAGAGGCAGTCGAGCATGCTCAGTTGCCAGGACGGGGTGGCCCAGCTGCAGGAGAGAAGCGCGGCGGAATCCCAGCCCCGCCGGCGCCTGGCCTT